CTTGCCGAGACAGTTATTTTGAGATAATTTTGTGTGTATGTGTTCATTCAGATGCAAGGATATGCGAAAGAGGAATCAATTCTGTGTATGCGCATTGTCTGAAACGCGGCTCTCTGTGCGCGCTTTGAATGAGTGCACGCAGCTCCGAATGCGTGTGAATGGTTTAAGACACTTGAATGTTTAAATCGGCAAGACTTAGAAACACGTGCAAACGATCAACTACGATCTGTTTTACCCCTACAAGCTAGTGAACAACGCAAATCAAGGAAGGAATTTTATATCACTGTTCAAGATAGCCCGTCGGGCAGGGCAGGCACAATAGCCCCGGGGACGTCGGGCTAGCGATTTTGCGAGCCCTGCATACACACACCTATTGGTCGACAACATTGTACAATCTATAATGCAGGTACCGCCCACATTTGCTGCTGGTTAAAAACCTGCTTACTGACTAATGTTCAGCGTTAGTTTACACATGACTGTTAAAACATTTCGAAGAGTGAGCATAGTCTGCTTAATTTAGAACCGAGTCAAATGTCAGACCGGTGAGAAGAACCCCCTTTTTCATTGTGGGCCTCAAAAACCCAGAGACTGTACTGTACAACACATACTGTCATAAACCAGGCTTCATTTTGTCGCGTGCATGCGCAGACCCTTTACGAACATCTGTAACATTCCATTCATGTAGGTCCGACTCACTGTGCATTATAGGCTAAATATATGGACAATATTTGAGTTTTTTTTATTATTTATTTGTCAGTTAGAGTTACTGGGCTGGACTGTATTAGGATTTAATCATTACAGTTTCAAAATCATTATGATGGTACACTGACTTCTAAAAAGGTGATTGTCTTCTGTTTCTTTCCCACAAAACTACATACAATTGCTTTAATAGTATAAAATGGTTAGCTGGTCTTAGCTGGTTTAAGCTGGTCTAGATGGTTTCACAGTTGGTTGGCCATCCCCGACCAGATGCAAGTGCTATAAACTCCTCTAAAACCATCAAACCAGACTTGTCTGGAGACAAGCTAACCACGGTAATGAAATACGTCTGTAATGCTCACTAAGGCTCACCATTTATTCGATCAAAAATACTGTAAAAACAGCAATATTGTAAAATATTATTACCATTTAAAATAAGAAAATGTCTATTTTAATACATTTTAAAACATATTTTTTCCCTTGATGGCAAAGCTGAATTTTCAGCAGTCATTACTCCAGTCTTCAGTGTCATATGATCCTTCACAAATCATTCCAATATGCTTGATTTGGTGCTCAATTATTATCAGTTATTATTGGTCTGCAAATATTAATGATGATTCTTATGCAATGTTGAACAGTTGCAACAAATAGAAAAGAGTTATTTTAAATTTAAATATTTTTTCACAATATTACTGTTATTAATATTGTAATATTACTGTTAGCAAGAGACTTCTTTAAAAAAAAACAAAAAAAAAAACAATTATTCCAAACTTTTTACTGGTCTTTAGCCTATACATACATAAATAAACACAATAAATACATAGCTTGTGCTATTAATTCATCTTTTTTTTTTCTTCCCATGTGGGTTTTGGTAGCAGTTTTGTATGATCTTTTTTTTTCTTTTTCTTTTTTAATTTTAGCTAGCAAACAAAGTAAATTTGTGTAGCTTAGTGATTAAAGTTTGGGTCTGGGGACTGAATGGTTAAAGAGCAGGTCATATGGGTTTTCGAAAAATATATATTTTTGCAGTTTGTAACGTAGCTATCCTTAAATGTAAACAGTCTGCAAAGTTGTTAATCAAAAAAAGTGCATGATAAGTAAAGATATTGTCTCTCAAAAGAAAAAGTCGACTCTGAACCGCCTTAATGAGTCGTCATATTTTTAAATGTTCTGCCTGTTACCTATAAACGTCAAAAGGTAACACATTTACATAATCCCCGCCTGCCGCGAAATACGAACACTCTGACCTGCCCACAAACACATCCGCTAGTTAGTGTGTTTACATCAGGTCAAGAAGACGCTGTGTTCTGCGTTGTGAAAGCAAGTTTGTTTTGTTTTTATTGCTGAAAGATGATTTATTGCCACATACAAAGTTTAAACTTACCACTGAGAAACGTCCTGATCAAGTCGTGCTTGCGATGGAGTTTCCGGTTGAGCGACTGCATCGGTATCATCCTCAGACTCGGGCTCGAATTGATAAGGTAATATCAATGCCATTTTTGTAAGCTAATAGCATCTTTGTTTACAAGTAATCCTCCGGAGCAAAAGATGTTAATGCGCGTTTCGTTTCCGACACACATTGTATACGGAAAGACCAATCACAACAGACTTGGCCAGCTGACCAATCAGAGCAAAGTAGACTTATGGAAGGAAGGAGTTTACAGACCTTAAGCCCA